TTCCGTAGATTTTCTTGTGGTACAAGTTGACAGATATTGCAAAAAATTACATTGTCTCTACCAAGCTAAACAAGTGGCACCACCAACTAATGTCATAAAATATAAATAAATTATTGAAAGTAAAACAAATTTATTATTTGTTGATTGTTATGTTTATTGCGTTGTTAAGTAATAAATTTACAGTATATTCTTTTTGGGTTCATGAACATGGTCAATAAAGTATGCCTGACAAATATTTCAAAATTATATGTTTAACAGGTAAACTATTTTGATTATTGTGTCACCATATATCTTTAAAAGAGAAATACAAATATTATTTTAAAATCTACATCTGATTTTATATAGATGTCTATTATATTATAACTCATTATATTGAAATTAATATATAACTAGTAATTTTAAAATAAATAACTAGGTTTGTAAGTTTGTTTACAATAACTTTAATAATTAAAATATTTGTAATAATATATTTTGCTTGTGAAATAAAATGCACAGCCTTCATAAATTATAAACTAAATTAGCCTAACAATAACATACAAAATATCAACAATAAAAAAAGTAAAAAAGAAAAAGAAATAGTTCATATTACAACTTAAATTTGATGTATACAATATTTTTTTTATTGTACCGTATAATTTGGTTTCATGTTGAATTTCAAACACTCCATCTCAATTGAAGAAATGACATTTAAAAATTGGGTTTGGTCCATGCTAACTTCACTGAGATAATTATCATTTGTGTCAAGGATTATAATTTTATATTTGTGTAGAGTTTTTTTTTTTTTTCATTGCTGACCACAATTATTTAAAATCATTTTTATTTTTGAATTTATAATGAATAAGTGAATGGTATGTTACCTGTAAATTTATGTCCATATTTGTGTGTATGCCAACCAACCTTTGGTTCAATTTTTTTATTACGAATATTTCTATTCTTTTTTATTTTGGTTTTCTTTTTAAGTAAAAAAAAGAAAAGAAAAGATAAGGTGTAAATAGTAAAAACCTCCTCCAAAACCAAGCCCATATAATATATAGGACATTCTCCTTACAAGGCCCATAACAGTCTAAGTCAAACCCCATGAGCTTCAGCCATGTTGGTTTTTTATAGGACATTCTCCTTCCATAATGAGATCTAATCTAAGAAATAGAAGTACAAGGCCCATAACAGTCCAAGTCAAACCCCATGAGCTTCAGCCATGTTGGGTTCTGGTTTATGCAGCACTGCAAAGCGCCGAATCATCGAGAGCGCTTCGTGCTCTGCTTGCAAAATGTGTGCCTGAGTGAGAGTGATTGCATTAGCCACCGCCATTCGTATGTACTAAGGTCACACAATTTCGTGATTCCTCCTTAGTGTCGTACGATAACTCGCGAAATTGAAAATTATTGTGCGATTTGGTACGTTATTCTTCGTTCTTGTTTACATGCGTTAAAGCCCGAGATTTTTATATATGTTGATTTGCCTTTTCCAACTTATTTCTTGGTATAGTTGCTGTAGGTGATTGTTTTTATTAAACCACTTGAGTGATATTCAACCCATTTGCTAGGGCTTGCTTCGTTTTTCTTGTTATTGTGCTTTAATATAATTCCAAATCAATCTAAAGTCAAGTTGTTTTGGAGGTTGTAAATATTGATGCCATCAAGTGTTTAATGGTTGACGATGAGAATTTTCAATCTAGTAGGGTGGAAAGAAAAGAAATTTGGCGTTTGGCACTTGGCACTTGGGTTTAGGGGAGAAATCGCTTGTTTAGATATAAGGTATAACTACTTTCAGAACTTTTTTATTAGAAAAACTATTTATTTTCATAGAAAAGTTATCAAAAACTTTTTTAAATTTTGTATTCAAACATACTATTATCGTAGAATGAAATCCATTTCTCAAATAGATCAAATTGGATAAAAACACATAGTCAGATATATGGTTGTAGGATATGTTATCGAGTATTATATGTGATGTCACGATTTTTATTTATTTTTATTGGATTTTGATTTTTTCTTTTTGAGAATGAATTTTGTAGTTCAAAATATTGTGTTACCTAACAACACATGCAATGCAAGACTTTCATAATAACACTAGCCACCTATATTCATTGCTATAAATTTCTGAGCTCTGAATGCTTAATTATGTTTAGTGAATAAAAGGCTTAAGCAATTTTTTGGGTGAATAGGTCTTAAGCATGTTTGGTGCGGCTTATATGTTTTGAATCTATTATGGCAATCTTTGAAGTTATTACCGTTGGGAAAAGGCTTTTGTCCCCTTAATATACATTTATTTTGTATATGTGCATCAGTCTGACATCTAGTACCTGTAACAATTTTAGGTTAGTGATGTTTATAAGCTCCAACATTTTGTTAAGCACAAATCAATCTATGGGGCAATGCATTAACACCTTGATTTTAGACACATACCAAGATACACATTTTGCTTATGCTTGATACAGGGGACAACATCGCATGGCATAAATCACATCCCTTTGTTCTTCAATCCTTGGCCATTCAATGCTTGTTAATTATCCAACCTAAAATACACTTAATATTAGTGTGTATTTTGGTAGGGGTTTCACTTTCGTATATATGATTTGAAAAGTATTTTATTTTTTATTTTTTATTTTTTGCAAGTTTCTTTTACAGTTATATTGATTTTTTGGCTTCTCTATGTTAGCGAGATTTTTTTTTTATTCTTTTCCTCTTATTCACAATATGCTAACATTGTCTAATTGTTGAGTACTGTGGTTATTCATTTTTCAAACGGGATATGTAGACTGACTTGTTTATTTTTCATCTGTTATTTGTTTTATTGAATATTGATTCTAAAAAATAATAATAAAAAACATTAGTGTTCATTCTTAAGACTAATTTTAAATAACTAAATATTCTCTATTAAACTAAAATCTTATCAATTTTAAATATTATAAATCGATTTAATATTAATAAAATCATAACAAATATAATGAATAAACAACTAAATTTCGGAGATGCAAAAAAGAAAACATGAATGAAGCAAAGAAATCTGACATCACAATTCACACAAGTCATAACAAACTTGTGGCTGCATATCCAAAGTGAATGATGAATCCTAATATTAAGAGTGCAATCTCATTCCCGATGAACCCTAATTGCCGAAATAAGGAAACCTAATCCTCCTTCACACAGCCTCATTCGTGACAAATCCTAATCCTGCTCCGTGCATTCCCAGATTGCTTGGTAATAGCTTATGATTCTCCTTCAATTTCTCAGATTGACTCTTTGTGATTCATTCCCCGATTTTCCTTGTGATATTTTGTTTGTTTTTAGGCAAACTAGTGGATTCTTATTCTGATTTTATTTGTCAGAAAGGTTTATTCTGTCTTCTTCAGGTTATTCACATGTCCTGACATATCTCTATCTTGTCTCTTTTCCTTTTTAGATATATGATGCATAAATTTCTCTTGATATACATGCTTAAGCGTAGCTGTAAATGTTGCAGAATTTGTAGTCTTTACTCATAAATGTTGCATAATATTTATTATGTTAGATTTTTAGGATAATCAAAACCTGCCAATAATTGGAAATGACAAAGAATTTTAATAATTGTAAGTGAGAAAAGAAGAAGAAAAAAAAAAGAGGAATATAAGCCCGCCAATAGACCTATACTCATCGGTAGTTAACCACATCCTTTTTTTTATTCATTTGTTAAACAACTTTATAAAATGTTCATAAAGGGTTTAGTTTGTTTATGGACTTGGTTTAAATAACAAATTACATTCAAGAAAATTCAAGAGGTTCATGCACATTATTCAAATGTGATGTTGTAGCTTGTAGGTATCCAGAAAAAGTAAATAAAACTCTTTTATGAAAATCTTCTATTCAATAAATTAAAATTAATCAAGGGAAATCATGCTAATTACACATGCCAAACAGGAAAAACTATGATTTGTTCATATCTTCAGTTTTGTTATAAACTAATGTTCTAGAACAACATAAGCAACGTCTTTTATTATACTTTGTTGTTGTCTTCTCATTCTTTGTAATAGTTGTATTCCATGGATATGACCACCTTGGATTGGTGATATGAATCCAATGATAACATTCCAACTATTGCAAGCCTGTAACATACAGCTGACTATAAAATATCTATGTGCTTGTGCTGTTAAAATTGTTCTTATCAATAGGGTTGTGGTAAACCGAAGTTTGTCTTTTATTTAAAGGGAAATGGAAAATTTGAATGCCTTTTGTTATCACTTGTAGCCATAAATGTTAATCTCGAAAAACGGAGTGGTGAATATGGGATGACCGCTATTTTAATATATATATATATATA